GCAAAGCATCCCAAACGACTTTAAGCAAGCCGAAGACTTCGGCACCCTTTGCTCCAGCCTCAACCAGCCGCTGAAGCAAAGCCTGTGCAAACTCTACCCGTGTCTGCTGAATCTTTTCGAATATTGCTTCTTGCGGAACTCCCTTGATGTTGGCTTCGAGACAGCTCTGCACGACCGAAGCCATCGATTTTTGAACTTCACGGTCGGTCATAAAGTCCGCGCAATGCTCCGTCGCGAAGAACTTCCAGCTATGGAGGAGACTCTATACAAAATTGATCAGAAATCTTTTGATAAATAGATGAAAATCACCATCGTACGTACCACTTGTGCCTCGACCAAGGACAGATTGATGTTGGCTCGTTCGAACTCCTCGGCAAACCCTTGATTCTTAGTCCCAGACCAGGCAAAGTCATAAGAAAGAAGTTTGTCTCCTAATTGAATGTCGTAGTAGTAGTCGCGCCCCAAGCAGCGAGGCTGCAGAGAGGTTCTCCTAAAATCGGCAAGCTTGCAGCCAGGATATCTCATCTCGAAATTCCTCTTCAGGTTGGCGTGTAATGATGCATTATAAGCCGAGACATCAACGGCATCTTTCGAGTACCAAAACACAAGCGGAATCAATGTCTTGTAAAAAGTCCGGTCCTGCATGTCCTTGGCTGAGTGAAGGTAGACAGCACAAAGGTCAGCAACGACAGCGGCAATTCGCGTAGCGAAGATCTGATCCTGAACAGGCAACGATGGAATTTTCAATTTCGAGACATAGTTGACAAGGCTGTTAAAAAACTGAGGGTTTTTTCGCAGCTCTGGCGTTGCCCACGGCCAATTCTCTTGAGCACAAGAAACAAACTCGAGCAAGGAAAGTGCTACACGAAGGTCCATTTGTTCAACATTCGAAAGCATTCCGAGGGCAATTTGCAGAAAGGGCGTTCCCCTCATAGTGGGCCCGCCATTTGCGTCAGTTTTCTTCATCGTCTGCCGGGCAGACGATCCAGTGAGGATGTACACCGCGAGCCACTGCTGACGCTTAGTGACAATTGTGGACAACAAGTGCCATACCGCTAAGTGTAATTTCTGATCACTCAACGGCTTGTCGAACTGCGACAGAACGTCGAGGAAGAGGCAAGAGGACTCCGCCCCAAGGTGTCCGACCAAGGACGGTGGTTCATTCGTGGAGTCGAGAGCTGCACCGGTGATTAGGATCTCAAGAAGCAAAATTACTGGTAAGCGGTAGGCATCGAACAACGAATATAGTTTGACGAGAACTGGAGTGGCCTTGAATAGTTGGTCCTCTAGTAGCGAGGCTGGTTGCTCCAGAAACCGGGCGGCCTCCAATAGTCTGGTTGTCAACGCCAACGTCGCTTTCACCTGCCTTTCCATCAAGAGGAGGTAGCGAAGATATAAAGTAGCCGGCGTCTGAAGGCCGTCAACGATCAGCCGAAGGATTGGATTGAAAGGCAGGTCTGCCTTGGACTGTGGTCGTAGCACATCCAAAAGGTATGTTGCGGATGAGGAGAAAACGCCAGTGATCTTCGATTCCAGTTTGGTAGAATCGTTCGTCCCATAAGTATAATAGAGCATCCTTTCAAAGGTCTTAGCAAGAGTGGCATTGATCTCTAGCCTTTGTTCCGGGGCGTTGAAACGCCAGTCGATGTTGCTGTTGAACACCTCAACCATTGTCCGCACGAAATTCAACAAGATACCTCTCATGATATGAGTTGGTACGCCAGAGGTCCATTCAGAAGCAGCCGTCATTTTTCCAGACAAGTTATTCGGGCATTTTCTCAACATCGCGCGAGATGCTGCATCGTTCACGACAGCCTGGAATAACTGGACGCACTCAAGCAGGAATGGATAATCTCCCGATGTCACTTCAGTTGCGGATACGATTGCGGTCATGACGCCGCCCTTGCCATCTGACCCGAGTAAACTGCTCCGAGCGAGCAAAGGCCATACCCTTCCCGGTAAAATCATTGTAAGGGCACGAATGAAGCGTAAGCAGGCGATGGCCGAATATACTTTGCTGTCTAGTCCGGCCCTTGGACCTATGTTGTGCAGATTGCGCTCGAAGATATCGAAGATCAACGATATAATATCGCTTTCGCGAGCCAATCCATCGCTTGCAATCTCCAAAATATGTTTGGCGCCAGAGCCGGCCTCGCTTGGTGTTTGCTCAACCCATGTGACAAGAAGTAGGTCCGCGATAAGTCCTATGATCTCTGCAACGCTGTCTTCTTCCACCCCGGATGAGTAACCCCCGGTTTCATTCCACTCTTCCAAGAAACTCCCGAGATAGCTCAGGCAGGAATATTCATGATACCACATAACCACTGCTGGCTTTGCTTCGGATATCACTTGTCCTAGAGTCGATGAAGGCACTTGTGACGAGCTTGTGACAACCAGAGCATTGCTTGGTTCATGGTCCACAATATGCCTCGCCGACGACGACTCGAACATCGCCAGAGGCTGTGTGAGGGTGACGAGATTAGCATTCTCATCTTCTCGGATTGTTTCGTACCCCTGAAATTCGAATGGCACTATCTGTGTGAAGGTGTCCATATTCTCCATCTCGCTGAGGATCTGTGGAATGCCCTCTTCGTTCACCATGTCTCTGCTAATGAGCGCTCGGCAGAGCTTCAAGAATGGCACCATCTCGTATGGAAACCGTGAGCGTGCGAGTCGGAAAATCTTGTCCATCAGGAGATCATCTTTCATGAAAATCCAGCGCGGGTCGCTGGCGGCGGAAAGAGACTGTGAAGAACAAAGTGGATTTGTAGAAGACCCATTGAGAATCGCCAAAACCGAGCCAACAATCTCGGGGGAATACTCCACGTAAATCATCACGACGCGAACGAGATCCAAAAGTACCACTCGTGTCCATCGTTCTGTGAGGATGTCATCGACGGCTGAAGTTGAACCAACGTTGGTGGCCAAAGCAACTATCATTTCGAACATCATGTCCTTCATAGCATCGGATGTCAGAAGCGCGATCGAGTCCTCAACTGTGCAAGCGGGAGACCGTGCGCATTCGAGCAACTCCTCGTATAAGGAGAGCTCGGAAGCTCGGCCAGAATTTGAGCGGGGGGTATTCGATTGAAAAGAATCCACCGCGCTGTGAAACTGTTCCAGCTCTCGCGTCTCTTTGTCGCTAAGGGCTAGCTCTCTCAACGTATGTAGAAGTAGTCCCCACGAGAATGCTGCGGGATTTGCAGTTTTAGATTCAAGCCCGGCGGTTACAAATATTTCGTTCAATTGGCCGATTTCGTCCTTGGAAAGGAAATATGGTGACTGGGAAGGTGGTGTTGACGTCGATTTGTTGATGATCGAGGGCATGGCGAGTGGTAGCTTCATAAACGCAAGGGTTGTCAGAGCGACAAAAGCCTGTAGCGGCAACAATATCTCCAAGGGGTTTTGGCAAGGCTTCAATAATCAGTTATGAGAGCAACGATGATGGTAGAAGGTCAAAACATGACTTACTACTTGGACTGATTCCAGGAAACTGTAATCGACCATGACACGGAGCCAAGATACTAATAGTTCAGCAGTGGGAATCTCGGCCGACGCCTGAAGCTGGAGAAAAAGCATTTGGGTGATATGCAGGACCTCTTCAACGAGGACCGTCCTCCACATAATCTCTACTGCATCGTTGCTTTCAGCGACTCCTAACCAACCACCATCTCCTTCTAATTCGGAAAGTCGATCTTTGATGGCCTTGATGCACGCTTCCACAAAGGATCGCCATTCACTGCCTGCAGTTTTTTCTTGAAAGACAGCTGTACCTAGCTTGCGCAAGGACTCGGTGCGATCACTGACATGAGGGGCGGGAGGAGCAGTATCATTTCGAGAGCTGTTGTGGAGGGACAAAGCGAGCAGTTTGCGTGCTGTCTTCAACAGGTGGCTTCTCTCGGAAAGATAAAGGTTGCGCAATCTAAGTCGTCTATTTTCCTCGGACACGAAATCAGAGTCGTCACCGGCCTTCTGCCGCAAAATTTCATTCAAGGCAGGCGCTGCAAGCGACGCACGTAAATTGTCGACCCCAGCGGCACTCTGTAGGCTAGTTAATTCCTCCTCGGTAAATCTAGCTAGCAAGCGCGCAGCAGGACGATCCTGCCATTCCAGAACTGTGATCCGAAGAGCGGTTATCTCATCGATCCCAGCTTTTTGACTTAACCACAGAGTATCCGCTTTGATTTCCTTCAGATCGTAAGAAGCTTGCGCAGTCGTCTCTGCATGAATTGCCGCTGTCTTAGACTCGAAATCGGACTTTGTTTTTGCTGAAGGCGACGAGAAAGGATGCAAACAATTTGAAAGCAGGCGAGTGCTCTCTGGTTGCGAAAGGAACGCATGGAAGCTGGCTGTATCGTCGACGTCACTGTCAGGGTCGCAGGTATAGATGAAGGCTCTTCTCCAAGATCTAAAGAGAAAGCATATTAACACCGACCGCTTTTCAATTGTACGAACAAATGCGCATACAGAAGCTGGACGTCCCCAGAGAAGCACTTGTCCAGGGACGGGAAATAGGCCTCCGGGATGGGAGCCATTTGGCGAGACAATTTATAACATTATAGGTACCAGTCGATATAGGGAGGAGTCGCTTGACGGATAAAGATAGAGGTTGGCAGAGAAACCGAGCCAACGGAAGATCAAAATCAATGAAGCTCAGAGCTTTAGCTCAAGGCGGGCGCTCAGAATATTATTGAAGGAGCCTTTTGGCTGGAGGTCAACAATGTATACCTGTTCCGGCTTAGTGCCAGGCGGTGAGGCAGACTATTTGCACAGTTTGACAAACAAGCCCGATTAGGAAATCGACCCGCCTGCATCAGAGAACTTTCTGTGAGTCAAATAGTGTCAAACTTATTTGGTGACACAGGCATCCCTTGATTGACCTGAAGCAGGTGAGATTTCCCTCCAAGCTTGGGCAGGTCGAGCGTAAATCTAACGCAGTCTTTGTCCATCCCTCTCACAGTGAAAGCGGCCTCGAATCTTTCCTGCTCCAATTCACAGTCATGGCGGGCTCCGATCTCGTTGACCATTCTCCCCGCCATCCCACCAAAGCCGCACAGCTGGCCAGTGCCTCGAATGTCATTCTCATTGACAACTACGATTCTTTCACCTGGAACGTATACCAATATCTTGTTTTAGAGGGCGCCACCGTCACGGTCTTTCGCAATGACCAGATCACCTTGGAAGAGCTGATTGCCAAGAAGCCGACTCAACTCGTCATTAGTCCCGGCCCAGGTCATCCAGAAACAGATGCTGGCATCAGCAATGCGGCGATTAAGTACTTCGGTGGGAAAATACCCGTGTTCGGTGTCTGCATGGGACAGCAATGTATGATCACGTCTTTCGGTGGAAAGGTCGACGTTACCGGTGAAATCCTGCATGGCAAGACATCGGTACTAAAGCATGACGGCAGAGGTGTCTATGAAGGCCTGCCTCCTGCGGTTGAAGTGACTAGATATCACTCGTTGGCTGGGACGCATGCGACTATCCCAGACTGTCTGGAAGTTACATCTTCTGTCCCATTGAACGATGGCAGCGGCAAGGAGGTCATCATGGGGATCAGACACAAGCAATACGCAGTGGAAGGTGTCCAGTTCCACCCGGAAAGTATTCTCACGGAGCATGGCCGCACCATGTTCAGAAACTTCTTGAAGCTTACAGCCGGGACCTGGGAGGCCAATGGCAAATCCTCATCGGGCTCGGCCAATGTGAACGGCACCGCAGCAAAGGTAGACAAGAAGACTTCCATCTTGAATAAGATTTATGATCACCGGAGAGCAGCCGTTGCTGTTCAGAAATTGATTCCATCCCAACGTCCCGAAGATCTTCAGGCTGCGTACAACCTCAGCCTTGCACCACCTCAGATTTCATTTCCTGCTCGCCTCAGACAATCCCCCTATCCACTGTCATTGATGGCAGAGATCAAGCGGGCTTCTCCATCCAAGGGCATGATTGCGGAGACGGCATGCGCTCCGGCTCAGGCCCGGCAATATGCTAAGGCTGGGGCTAGTGTCATCTCAGTCCTCACTGAGCCAGAATGGTTCAAAGGCAGCATCGACGATCTGCGAGCCGTCCGTCAGAGCCTGGAGGGCTTGCCCAACCGGCCTGCTGTCCTTCGGAAAGAGTTCATTTTTGACGAATATCAAATCTTGGAGGCACGTCTAGCTGGTGCCGATACCGTCCTGCTCATCGTGAAGATGCTGAGTGTTGAGCTTCTTACGAGGCTTTACAATTACTCTCGCGGTCTTGGAATGGAGCCTCTCGTCGAAGTCAACACTCCAGAAGAGATGAAAATTGCTGTTGAACTGGGCGCCGAGGTGGTGGGCGTCAACAATAGGGATCTGACAAGCTTTGAAGTCGATCTTGGCACTACGAGTCGGTTGATGGACCTGGTACCTGAAAGCACCATCGTTTGTGCTCTCAGTGGTATCTCTGGACCGAAGGATGTGGAGGCTTACCAAAAGGATGGTGTTAAGGCTATCCTTGTCGGCGAGGCGCTGATGCGGGCCCCAAACACATCTGCCTTCGTTGCAGAACTTTTAGGGGGAAACGCAGAAAATAGCTCCAAGTCGGCACCGAGCTCACGCTTGGTGAAGATCTGTGGCACTCGCTCGGAAGCGGGTGCACGAGCTGCTGTCGAAGCTGGTGCAGATCTGGTTGGCATTATCCTCGTGGAAGGTCGTAAACGATGTGTACCCGACGATGTCGCTCTGCGCATTGCTCAGGTAGTGAAGTCAACCAAGCGCCCTACTGTCCAGCCTGACCCCACATCACCCGCCAATTCTTCTTCTTCTGACTTCTTTGATCATTCCGCCCGCGTCCTGCGTCATCCTACGCGGGCTTTGCTTGTGGGTGTGTTCCAAAATCAACCATTGGCTTACATCCTGGATAAGCAGCGAAAACTAGGTTTGGACGTCGTGCAGCTGCATGGGTCAGAGCCCCTCGAATGGGCCAGCCTAATCCCGGTGCCCGTCATTCGTAAATTTGCCTTGGATGAGTCTGGTATCGCACGCAGAGCTTACCACAGCTTGCCTTTGCTCGATTCCGGTGCAGGTGGCTCTGGTGAGCTTCTTGATCAGGCGCGTGTTCAGAAGATCCTTGGTAGCGATGATGGGCTACGAGTTATTCTGGCAGGTGGCTTGGACCCTTGTAATGTTGTTGACACCATCAAGAAGCTGGGAGACTCTGGGCACAAAGTGGTTGGGGTTGATGTGAGTTCTGGCGTGGAATCTGACGGTTCACAAGATCCTGCCAAAATTCACGCTTTTGTGCAAGCTGTGAAAAACTTCGAAGCTTAATCCAGGAAAACTACTTGCCTTGCTCTGTGGTATAAGTTCGATGCCACTCTTCTATGATGAGTTGATGACTCTTTTATGACTAGAAGACTTTATATTCTCCAAGATCATGTCTCACTCATATCTTATCTCGGGTTTACTTTCGGGTTACAGATATCTCATTATTTCCGGGCTTCAGAAACATATCATATCATGTCTCCTCAAGACCCTCAAATACTCCTAGCATTCTACTTAAATGATCACTTTTCGGGTAACCTCATTGCCAATCCCCATCTTCCTGAGGGTCAGTAACAAATCGCATACAATTCAGTATCAGCCCTGATAGTGTTACAAAACTACAATACTTCATACTTCCTCCCTTCCTCATCACTAACACCTCTGCCTGACATCTCGAGTGTTCTCTGCTCTTCGACCTTGACCTCTGATTTTACCATCACTTTCACCAAACTCAAGTTATCACCATCACCTATAGAAACTATGGGAAAGACATTTCAAAAAATCCACGCTTGTGCCATTGGCAGGTTCTCTGTCAATGGGGATAAGATTCCACAGTGGATACGAGCCCATGGAGGGACCTTCTCGAAAGACGTCACCGAGAACGTTACACACTTGATTACCACGAAGGAGACCTTCGAAAAGAATGTCGAAGCAGGTATGGCGCTCATCATTCCCTTTTGTAGCCGAAACTACACATTTTACTAAGTTTCTCAATGGAACAGTTCAGAAAGCCAAGCTTCTGGAAACAGTCAAGATTGTGACATATGACTGGCCCGAGGACTCTTTGCAGTGCAAAACCCGTAAGCCGAAGCTTGAAGGAGCCTATCTTTTGGCGAATCACTCGAACAAAGAGAGAAAGAAACAGAGACGAGCGGCAAAGGTCCAGACGAGGCAGATGAAGACCAAGGACAAGTCATCGGGTACGTGTGGTCATACTATCGCTGATGCTTCAAGATATTGACTGGAGCCAAGCACCTGGAAATGATTCGTCTCAGCCAAAGTCTCGTGCCAGCAAGGAGAAAGCCCTAACTGCGTGTATGTCTCCTTTTAACATCTGTGTGGTTATGCAGTCTGACAGACTTGAAATATCAAGCGAACTATCACGTCTATGTTGACAAGGGTACCGGAGAGACGTACAGTGCTACTATTTACCGCCATCTGTCTCAGAACAATAAACGCGAGAAATTCCAGATCAAGGTCGGTTCCTGCCTCTGAAGTGCCGGACACCCTCTTCCCGCTCGCACCATAAGCTGATAAATCTGTAGGTTCACGAGTCAAATGACGTTCCTCACATTTACACAACGCAAGCGAAGTACTGTCGCACCGGAAAGTCCACTAGCGAGTTTCTCGCGCCTCTCGGCAGCGACCAGAACACTGCGATAGCAGCATTCAAAGACTTTTTCGCGGCCAAGACGGGAAAGAATTGGGAGTATCGACTGGACGGGATCCCGATGCCTCCAAAGCAAGACGTTGATGGAAAGCAACTACCGGCCCATGAGGGCTGGTTTTACTATGAAACTGGCAGATCCCTTCTTTCGGACTTTCTTCGCCAAGGAGAGACTCAAAGCTCTGCAGCAGGCCAGGGTGCTGAGCAAACTGCTGTCGGCTCGAACAACGATGACCATGGTCCTCTGACGCCGCCTGGTGGTAAAGATGAATTCGTCGAAGATCAAACCTAAGCCGCAAATATCGGTTTACAGAAGCGTTGAGCATGGGTGTATCGTTGCCACTGTTGGCAATCTCAGCCTTTTTAGGGTTGCGTTACTGGTGATGGTTCTGTATTGCTTGAGCGTTGGCTTATCGTAATCGATGATGTCCTTCTCCTCTTTTCATTTTTCTCAAGGCTCTCAAGCATTGGGATAAGTCTTGTTCATCGGTTCAGAGCTACAGGTTGGCACAAGTCGCTAAACTTGCTATCTCCTAAAGAACAGTTTTATGACCGAGAATCGTAATTCCTTATGGTTTTGCAGAATATTCTGCAGCGAGTTTGACTTTCCTCTCAATGTGGGTATAACCAATCTAATAAATAATGATGCAGTGCTACCAAACATCAAGCACGTTGTTCCCTCCTAAACACCTTGTGCGCCAGGTAAACTTTTTGCATCTGTAAGAATATACATAGAGCCGCTGCCTCCCGTCGACGTCCCAAAATGCTCACAGATAGTCCTTCTTCTTGCTCGTTCTTGTGTACTGCGTGAGAGCCCATTCAACATCACCACTCGAGCCCTTCTCCAGCGAGCCGCCACGGATTTCGAAAAGCCTCATTGTCATCCGCGGGCCAACCTCAGCCAACTCGACATCCCGGTACCCAGTCTTAACGAAGACATGGTGCCGAACCTCAATATTATCCTCCTTATTCACGAAGCTCACAACACGATTGCCGACCTTACCAGCCTCACGAGGTGGGAACAGATGCTTCAGAATCTGAACCACACGAAGACCGAGCTTCGTTTTAAAACCCTCAAAGATCAGGTGAGGGTAGCTCTCCGAGACAGTCCCACGGGCCGCATTGGGAATATCCGCACGGAGAACGACGTTGTGCAACGAGAAACTGGCTGTCGGGCCATGAGGAAGATGAGAGACGGTCATCGCGGTGGGCGTTCCACGGTGTTCGTGTAAGAGAACCATGTCTGTCAGCGCGGCGGCATTTGCGCTCGCCACGAGATCGGGAAGGACAAGATTACCACGATTCAGGCGGATTGAGGTGGGTAGGAGCAATCGGATTTCCTTCGCAAATGTGCCTAGGCGGACGGAGGGTGACCGGGAGGTGGTGACAATCGGACGAGGGTCAATGATACCAGAGGTGAGAGCATATTCATCATCGAGGTCAGCATAGTCGGTATCTTTGTTCTGCTTGTCGGCCGTCGGTAATGATTCATCATATTTGAAGTCTTCACGGAGCGCTTTGTCATTCGCTATTGAGGGGTCAAGAGTCTTTCCGGTGGCCAAAGAAGCCTTGAGTTGAGCTCTTTTTTCGGCGATGGAGGCATCGCGGAGAAGCAGAGCTCTCCGATAGAGATAGTCTCGACGCTCGCGGGCTTGACGGCGCTATGTGTCGGTCAGAAACCTTCTGTAAATTGCAAGAAGTACACAAATCTCGCCAAGGAGTCTGCAAGCGACATATTACTTACAAGCATCTTTTCTAACGAATTCTGGAGTGATCTGTACGATTGCTGGTCGAGATCTGGTCCGCCGAACAACTTTTTTTTCTCTCCAAGAAAGCTGCGCAACTGGCCTCAACCGGCTACCGGACTGTGGCTTCTGGCGGCAAAAAAGGTCCGATAAAACATCCAAAGCCGATCGCAGTCCGCCCACTCACTCTCACGGAGTCCTGTCAACTACACCGTCCTGATTTCCAGGATTAGCGACTTTCGTTCGCCAGGTTCATAGTGACGGAAGGCTAATTTAAGTGGGCTAGGGTATTGGAGATCAACCGGTATGTTCCGTCTTTTGGCATGCTGATATCTGAGTGAACCGGTTGACTTACTAAGACCGGACTTAGTTTCTCTCATTCCTGTGCCCCTCTACTGTGGCACACTGGATCTCTTCAACAAGAAGGACTAAGAATTGTCCCTTGACCCATTCATTAGGACGACTGGCTTGTCCTGACGCTCTTTTGGTTCCTATATTTCTGGCCTCTCCGATTTCCGTCGCGGTTGCCACGCTGCCGTCTCTCCCCTCGATACGTTCCGCTCAGAGTATTACTGCTCTCCTTGCCTAGAGTCAGCAACACGAGCTAGACTTTCTGGTACTTGCTAATCCATTAAATTCCGACTTCAGGCCGACCATGGCTGCTATCGGCGATGGTAAGGCTCCAGCGGATCTAGATGAGACTACTTTAAACATGACCGGGGGTCCGCGCCCAAGGAGACACGATGATGACGATGATGGATCGGATAATTTTGGTGATGACGATGTCGACAGTGTTACCAGCGCCGCTGTGACTGGCCATAGGAAAAATGAGGGCAATCTTGAGGAGGAGAAGGAGCTACCCCCGCATGCATGCGCGTGAGTAACTACGAAACTAGGCTTCTCTGGTCCGAGTCGTTCGCTAACATTTACCTCCCTTTCTATAGTTATTGCGGTATTCATAATCCAAGCAGTGTAGTAAAATGCCTGGCTTGCAGCAAGTGGTTTTGCAGTGCCCGTGGGAACACGTCCTCTTCACATATTGTCAACCATCTTGTCCGAGCTCGCCACAAGGAGGTTCAGCTTCACCCTGCCTCGTCCCTGGGCGACACTATCCTGGAGTGCTACAACTGCGGAACTAAGAACGTTTTTCTGTTGGGGTTTATTCCAGCAAAATCCGACACAGTCGTGGTTCTGCTTTGTCGTCAGCCCTGTGCTGCCATGCCGTCATCAAAGGATATGAACTGGGACACTTCGCGCTGGCAGCCACTGATTGAGGATCGTTCATTTCTGCCATGGCTTGTCGCCGCTCCATCGGATCAAGAGCAGCTCCGAGCCCGGCATCTTAGCCCGCAGTTGATCGCAAAACTGGAGGAAATGTGGAAGGAGAATTCTCAGGCGACTTTCGCGGACCTAGAGAAAGCTACAGCGGTAGATGACGAGCCCGCACCTGTTCTCTTGCGGTACGATGATGCTTTTCAGTACCAAAACATCTTCGGTCCCCTGGTCAAGATTGAAGCAGACTACGATCGTAAGCTCAAGGAGTCTCAGTCACAGGATGGTCTTATCGTTCGTTGGGATCTTGGTTTGAACAACAAACATCTTGCCAGCTTCATTCTGCCAAAGCTTGAACTTGGAGACGTGAAATTGGCTGTGGGAGATGAGATGCGCCTCAAGTACACGGGTGAGCTACGTCCCAAGTGGGAGGGCGTAGGATACGTCATAAAGATCCCAAACAATCAGTCTGATGAAGTGACCATTGAGTTGCGCGCTAAGGGCGATCACAAGTCTGTACCCACCGAATGCACCCACAACTTCACTGCGGACTATGTCTGGAAATCAACCTCGTTCGATCGTATGCAGCTCGCCATGAAGACTTTCGCTGTTGACGAGATGAGCGTCTCCGGTTATATTTTCCATCGCCTCCTTGGACATGAAGTTGCCGCTGCGCCAATGAAGACTCAGCTACCGAAGAAATTCAGTGTTCCTGGCCTACCGGAGCTCAACGGAAGCCAAATCAATGCAGTTAAGAGTGTGCTACAGCGGCCTATGAGCTTGATTCAGGGTCCCCCAGGAACCGGAAAGACTGTTACATCTGCCACAATTATTTACCATCTCGCCAAGATTAACGGAGGTCAAGTCTTGGTCTGCGCCCCATCCAACGTTGCGGTCGATCAACTGTGCGAGCGCATTCACAGGACCGGTCTCAAGACAGTACGTGTGACTGCGAAGTCGCGTGAGGACGTTGAGTCACCTGTGGGCTTCCTTTCCTTGCACGAGCAAGTTCGCCTGAATGATAGCAACATTGAACTTATCAAGCTCAACCAGCTCAAGGCTGAGCTGGGCGAATTGTCAAGCCAAGACGAGAAGCGTTTGAAGCAACTCACTCGTTCGGCAGAGCGTGAGATTCTAAACAATGCCGACGTCATTTGCTGTACTTGTGTCGGCGCTGGCGACCCGCGACTTGCCAAGCTCAAATTCCGCACCGTTTTGATCGATGAATCGACGCAGTCGGCTGAGCCTGAGTGTATGATCCCACTGGTCCTTGGTTGCAAGCAGGTTGTTCTTGTCGGTGATCACCAGCAGCTTGGACCTGTTATTATGAACAAGAAAGCGGCTAAAGCGGGTTTGAACCAATCTCTCTTCGAGCGGCTTGTTATCCTCGGCTGCTCCCCTATTCGACTGAACGTGCAGTACCGTATGCACCCATGTTTGTCAGAGTTTCCATCGAATATGTTCTATGAAGGATCTCTGCAAAATGGTGTCTCTGCCTTTGACCGACTCCGCCGCGACGTGGATTTCCCTTGGCCTGTCGTTGACAGTCCCATGATGTTCTGGTCGAACCTTGGCAACGAAGAAATTTCAGCGTCAGGAACTTCTTACCTCAATCGAACCGAAGCTACAAATGTGGAGAAAATCGTGACCCGCTTTTTCAAGGCCGGAGTGCAACCAGCCGACATTGGTATCATCACGCCTTACGAGGGCCAACGTAGCTACATCGTCAGCTCTATGCAGGCAAATGGCACGTTCAAGAAGGAGCACTACAAAGAAATCGAAGTCGCTTCGGTTGATGCTTTCCAAGGTCGAGAGAAAGATTTCATTATTCTTTCCTGTGTGCGTTCCAACGACCATCAAGGCATCGGTTTCTTGAGTGATCCGCGTCGTCTGAACGTTGCGCTTACCCGAGCGAAGTATGGCCTGGTCATTCTTGGAAATCCCAAAGTTCTGTCCAAGCATCCCCTGTGGAACTGCCTACTGCAACATTTCAAGGAACGACACTGCCTTGTGGAAGGACCTCTGTCCAACCTTCAGGAATCTCTTATTCAATTCAGTCGTCCAAAGCAGTCATATAGAGGTCCGCAACGGTTCCAGATGGCTTACAACCATGCATCCAACGTCACCAGTGGAATGATGAACGGCAGGAATGGCCACCGAAACGAATTCCATGACACCGGCTCAGTGGTTGGCTATATTCCCGACGATGTTTCCTCCGTACACTCCTCTGCCCTTGGAGGCGTCAGTATCCCCTCAGGATATCCGCCAATGTTCCAGAACTTTGCAGACTCCTGGCCTGCTCTTCCTGGCGCCAGACGAGCTAATGGCGCCAGAGGGAAAGGAGCGCCTAGCGTTGCTGGGGAATCCGTGGCAGCTACCGAGTCCGACATCACGGGAAGTATCATTGACGGTAGGAGCGTTGATCAGGGCGGTGTCAGCCTTGCTGGCTTGAGCATCAACGATATGACCAAGCAGCCTAGTCTCAGTCAGTCCGACAGGTTGAAACGTTACGTGGAATCTGGCGGACGAGAGCCGTACAGGGCTGGCGTTCCCGACAACGGTAGCATCTTTGGAGGAAGCTCTGCCAGCATTCGCGTGACTCGTGGTGTTCCTGGACATGTCCACGATGATGACGACACTCGCAGCGTTTCCACCGCTTTTGCGAGCCAGGTCGGAGGTAACTACGATTGATTTCGGTGATACTGTAGACAACACCTTTTAGGGTGGCTTCAGAAGCATGCAGTAACTCCATGATGTGGACGACCGTCTATTTCGAGATCCTCCAGATACGACTCGATGGCCTGCGAGGGTTGACGAGTGTCTGCTTGGACATGACGAAACTCCTCCTATACCTCGACAGGGCTGCATTGGTGGAAAGAACGTTGCGGCAGTGGCGTGGTCTCTGCTTTCAATGATCTCCCAGTCATTTTTCTGCCACCCCACATTGGTCAGAGATGTCTGCGAGTAGTTGCCATTCTTAGTATTATTAAGAGGTGCTTGATGATCCGTGAAAGGAGCGTCTTGACTGGCAGCGTTCGTCATGTCCACGCGCATCATGGCTATGCTGGATGACTTTCGATCATCAACGTATGGAATCTTCCTTGTCCTCTACCGGCTTGCACATGCCCTCAACAATTGGCGGTTTCGAGACTGCTGACAAGTTTGATATCCCCAAAGGGTGATTGAACCAGATCGCGCTTATGACGAAGATGTTATCCGTGACATTTTGCCATTTCTGATTATTCCTGCTTGCCACTATTTACATTTTCCTTTCCGTTGGCTCGGCTTTGGTAGCATTGCTAGGGCGATGCAGGGATTTGTCAACGTTGTCCCTCGCACTAACCGGGCAAGGTTGTCTTGATTATGTTCAGGATTGCCCTCTCCCGTCTTGCTAGTCCACTGCATGGAACTACCTAGTGATGTGCGCAACGCTGAGCCGTGACCTCTTGCAATGAAATCCAACTATTGTCTCTCGTTAAAGCACTGCCTTCCTTGATCAAATGCTGAATGTAGAAACAAGTAGCTTGACCTTGGCAAACATAAAATGCCTGCAACTGTCATTCTATGACACCCGGTGTACTTCAGCGCTCGATATAAATAGATTTAAACATCCTGGCAGAGAATCAATCCTTCTCAGGACAGGCATCTACGAATCAACATGCTTGGCATTCTGCAAAGTTTGACAAATAGGTTCGTCGGTCATACATCTTATGTCTTTACTCGGGTTAATGAT